AGTCTAAAAAAATTTGAAACCCACCACTGTGTCAGTGCCTCACCAGCCATAAACCTCACCACACATCGCTGGTGCGTTCCCTGACCCAGCTGAGGTGGGCAGCAGCTCCCAGCCCTCAGGGAATGGTGCATCCCTGAGGCTCCAGCCCCCAACCCAAGGTAAAGGGCAAGTGAGCAGTATGCTTACTTACCTTTGGTGAGCTGAGGTGCGGAGGCAACTGGTGATGCATGTAGCTGGGCTGTGTGGCGAAGTGAAGGCAACATATATAGGGCTGGGATGGGCAGGGCAAGCGTCAGGCAGGTGGGCGGGGTGAGTGAGTGAGCATTGAGTGAGCATCAGGAAGGTGAGGCGAGCAAGCTTTGAGCGAATGTTAAGCAGGCGGTTGGGGCGAGTGAGCAGTGACTGGGTTACCGGTTTGGGGGCATGGCAAGCCAGCGGTCGCTACCAGTTCAGTGACCCAGGCCAAATTTCCACTACTGGTTCGCGTGAACCAGTGTGAACTGGCTTAACACTACCTCTTATATAGAGGCATTAATTACTATTCTTAATACTATTTTACTCTTCAAAGCACTCTCTGCCCATCTAGAGTCTGCATAGTATTATTTGGTTTTTTTGGTCTTCTTCATTTTTTTCTTGTTCCCTCTATTGTTTTGGCATAAAATGTGTTAAGTTGTACTTATTTTAAATGCATCTGATTCATAGTCTCTTAAGGACTGGGATTTGCAGAAGTAGCTATTGTAATTATGTGCAAAGCTGAAGCCTTTTTATCTTCTATATTCACTCTTACCTGATTATTATAGTGTTTGAAAGGCTATATGCAGTTTGATTACATTGGGATCAGGCCTTTCCTCTGTATCTTCTTTTTTAATCACAGCTTATTGGAGCTCTAAAACTTTACTGGATAATAGGAGATTCAGATGCCCCCTGAACTACATCTGAGAGTCACAGACTCTGCTTGGAATAAAATCTGCACTAAATAGCCTAATGTGGATGGATAAATATGTATCTTATATAGACAATATCTCTACATACTAATAGACAGGAACTGAAAAGCAGTTTGTAGCTCCAGACTAAGATGAAAGAAGGCCAAGATTTATTTTTTTTACATGAATAAATCAAAAGTTCTTTTGGTATATATTTCAGAGATGTGTCAATGTTGTAATAAATATTGTTATAATATCTGATTGTCAAGTATGAGAAACATATATTTCAAATTAAGATGCTGACTGCTTTTTTAACAAGTGTCTTCTACATATTACAATGGTTCTTCATGTATAATATACCCTCAGATGAAGTTACGAAAACTAAAAAATATCTCACACATTTTTCCTAGCTGTTATATGCTGCCGTGCCTGCAGTAGATTGGAGGAAAAGTTAGAAGTGCTATTAACTGGTGTGGTTCCTGGGACAACTGCTTCACAAATACTCCAAGATACTGCAATGTTAACTCTTTCTCAGAGCATGTCATCTCCAATTCATGATGAAATTCAAGTTATTGATGGTAAGGAAAGTTTTTAAAAAAATACAGTACAGATAATGCTATAGCTGTCTGAAAACTAGACAGTGTATATTTAAGAACATGTTTTTAATGTTTATTGGGTTGCAACAAAATTCAGAGATTCCCATTACAGTTGATTCATTCCATTCATTCCTTTTTTCTAATATTATTAATCTGAGCTTCTTGATTCTTGTTACTTGGATTAACTCTGTTTTAATTGTAAACAACAAAATCTGATATTAATTCCAACAGTCTTTACTCCGTGTACAATACAACCTTGCTTTGAATGCTTAGACTTTGATTCTGGCAACTGTTTGTTGACTACAATTGTTGTACAGTTGTTACAGGTCACCAATATCTTACTCAAAGCTAAGCTTCTAGTTGCCATGGACTAGAAACAACCAGATGGTAGGCTAAATACCATTGGCTACCATACTTAATTATAAGAATCATTGAGCTTTATAGGGATTAGGTCAGCAACTTTAGCTTCTATAACATTTATATGTCTATGAAGTTAGCAGTTGCCCCAGAATCTACAAGAACATAAAGTTCCACCATCCAAATTAACAATGACAACAGTAAAAAATAAGTATGCTTGCCTTTTGGAAAATTCTGTCCCAGTTGCTGCATTAGTTATATTATGGCAATCTGTAAATTGGTCTTCTGTACATTTTTTTTGTTGGGATTGTAACAATGTGGCTACCGGTTATTAATGATTAATGTGGTTCCCTGAGGATTGAAGGGCATTTTTGAAATTCTTTTCTTTGGAACAGAATATGAGACTTGCAAGGCTGATGTCAGCCTTCCCTTGAAAAACATCATGAAAATATTAGTAATTTTGTGTAAGGACAGACATGTTGAAAGTATATAATCATGGATAATGTTGAAAAAATATCTGGAGAAAAATTATCTTGTTCTCTCAGAATATTAAAATCTTTTTTTTTATTGAACATTTTTGGAAAAAAAACCACAAACTTTTACAAATGTTTAGTTCCCANCGTGGATGACTCTGCTTAACTGTTTAAAAAAGCCTCTAAAAGCACCCTCTACAGGAGGAGGCAGGAGAACGACATGCCTCAACTACGTCAGGAATTTTTCGGCTTTTAACCCTTGCTTAACTCTGCTCGAGTGATCAATGCCGGATGCCATTTGTGGCGTACATCCACCTGCCACTGCCTTAGCCAGAGCAATCTGTGAGATGCTACAGAAGAAGCAATTGCCCTGGAGGCAAACCTTGCTGCAGCCAAAGTGGCATCTGACGAGAATTGGATGGCTGCCACCAACTTATTGATGTCCTGGTGTGACCTGACATCCGCAATCAGAGTGCGCTGTTGGAGCTCCTGCAACCAAAGCAAAGAAGACTGGTTAAAGAAGGAGGCAGTGGTGGCCGCTCTCACTGCCCAGGCCACTGCCTGGTGACCCCTTTGTAAGGTGAGGTCAGCCTTTTGGTCCTCCGGTTTCAAGGCGTCCTCAGGAGCTCCAGGCATGTTGGCAGGGGTATGCAGAGCAGTGACTGGAGCATCAATAGTAGGTTGCAACAGCACCTGGGCCATGTCTTTGTCCATATTGAAGAATGTTTTGTCATTTGAAGAGGGCATAGGGCCCGAGATGGGAGATGCCCACTGTCGCTTGACTAAGTCAAGGAAGGATTTAGGAGTGGGCACCATGTCTGCCTCGATAGCTTGTTCCTCAAAGATTGTCTCAGCAGAGATGCCTTGAGGTTGCACCAGTGGCACTGATGGTTTGTCCTCAAATTTTGCAGAGGCCTTAGCCTTAAATAGCAAGGACTTAAACAATGAAGGCTGAAACAAACCAGAAAAGGGGGGCTTAGAAGGAGGCATGCTTTTATCCTCAGAAAGGTTTTCCTCTCTGATTTCGCCCTCCTCAGAGTCTAAATCATTATCCTCCCATAATGGGGCAGGGGAGGCTGGAAGAACTTCCTCCTGACCATTTGGCCCCTCAGGAGCTAAAGGCAGTGGTACACCTGTTGGTTGAATTTGAGGCTGTTGGAAGGCCGCTGCCATGCACTGCTGGAAGGCCCTGAACATCATATCCTGGCGGTTAGGTACCCCTAAAGTGGGTAATTGACTGGCACTGGCCCCTGCAGAAGTAGAGGGAATAGGCTGGGGCAAAGCCCCCATCATTGGGGGAGGCGCAGATGTAGTGCGTGGGGGTGATTGCCAACCCCAGGGGCCTGAGGTGTCAATGGGAATTCTCACATGGAGAGAGAGATCCTCCTCTGCAGCCTCTCCAGGAGAAGAGAGTCCTGGCAGATGTCCCAGTGAAGGACTTTTATCAATGCCCAAGGCAAGAGAAGCCTTTTTGCCACTGGCCTTTTATAAATGAGCTCCAACGCCTTATGTCTCTGTCTCTCATACTTAGAGATAGGCCTAGAATTAAGATTGGTCACTTTGGAAGCTTGTGAGGCTACATGCTTTATCTTACTTCGTGCTTTGTGGCCCCCACCCCTGGGAGAGACATCAGGAGGGAGGGTAGGTGCAGATGGGGAAACCTCTGGGCTTCCCATAGGACTGTTGGTCGAAACTGCGAGGACCTGACTCCTGTCAGTATCCTCTGCGTTGCTGGCGGCCACCATTTTGGATCGCGGCTCAGGCTGGCTTCAAAAAGGCGGTTCGCACCAAAAGCAACTGACAGGTCCCTCAGACAAATGATAAAAGCGGCTTGTGATGCTTAGAGCTGCCTTCAGACTCACCTCCGACAAAAGCAGCTCGTTAACAAGCTCCTCAAGCCGCTCTTTCACCAGCAGTCAATTTGAAAGAGCATGGGCACTCCACAGCGTTTTAAACTGCCGCGGTTCACCGCTTGACCTTTAAGGGAACGGCAGAGCACTCCTGCGCCAATTAAGACATTCCTGCTGTCAAATATGCTAGGAAACAAGTCCAGCTGTCAAATAGTCAAACAAACTAGAGGCGCAGCACTTCAATCCTGCCAGTCACAAGTCCTCACAGAGTGACAATAGGTCTGTCAGTTATAACCAATCCTGTACGCCACCCCAGAGGGTTAATGGTGAATCTACACCACCCAGGCTGGGGTTTCTGGTGACAATATAGGTACTTATGCAGCCCGAATCAGATCTGAATTTAGACAATTAACCTAATATTTTCCAAAGTCCACTGGAGCACTAGGATGACACAGCCGTCAAAATTGAGGGACTGAGTTGAAAACTGGGCTTGCCTGGCAACATGGGAGTGGCTAAAAGGACTTATCAGGCTCAGTCCAATCAATGAGCAGATGAAGTTAACCCAGTCTGGATGCTACTTCCTCCACTATGGAGAATGGGGTCTTCACCTATAAAACAAAAACCAACCGATCCGATTGCTTGGACAATGGAGTGTCAAAAAGCCTTCAAGAAGTTGAAAAGACTTTTTGCCCAAGAGCCAATTTTGCAACACCCGGACACAGAAAACTAATTTATAATACAAGCAGATGTAGTCTCCACAAAGCTCACCAACACTGAAAGGCAATGGGCCATTTGGGAGAAAGAGGCTTACACCTTCCGCTGGGTCCTACTCATTTGGAGGCACTTCCTAGAAGGGGGTAACGTGCCTTTTGAGGTCTGGACTGATCACAAAAACCTTGAAGCCCTAAAAACCCCTAGGAAGTTATTTCCCAAGCAAATCCACTTGACACATTACTTCAAGAGATTCATATTTGAGCTGAAGTACATCCCCACAGGGAAAAACCTACTAGCAGATGCATTGTCCAGCAAGCCACAATTTGACAGCCACAGGAAGGAAGTGGTCCATGATCTCATTCCACTGCACAACTGGTAGCACAAGTCACCACCAGAGGCCAAGCCAGATGGTCACCAAATCCCAGTCAGGACAAGCTGGCTGCCACCTTGAAAGCAGCGCTGCCTACCAACCCCTGACTCACCGACAATAAAGGCATCATAACCATGAGAGATGGCTTAACCTGGAAAGGATCTAAAATATACGTCCATTTTAGCTTGAGGCTAGAAGTGTTACAGCGCAGCCATGATGCAAAGTTAGGCGGCCACTTTGGATTCCTAAAGATGCTCCACCTTGCCAAACAGCAATTCTGGTAGCCTAAGATGAAAGCAGAAGGGGAAGACTATGTAAAGAGCTGTGCCACCTGTGCAGCCAGGAAAATGAAGGCAGGAAAAACCCCTGGACTTCTACAAGTGGAAAGCTCCAGCTAAGAAATTGCAATGGATTTTATCGTAGAACTCCCAGAAAGTGGGGGGAACACAGTAATCTGGACTTCACTTGTTTTCCAAGCAAGCCCACTTCACAGCATGGTCAGGGCTGCCGCCAGCAAAGAAGCTAGCAAAGCTGTTTCTCAAACATGTCTACCGCCTGCACAGGGTACCCTGGAGAATCATCTCGAACAGAGGAGTCCAGTTCACCGCCAAGTTCTGGAGGAAGTTCCTGAAGTCCATCAGGTCCACACAAGGACTTAGCTCGGCTCTCCATCTGAACACGAACGGAGCTGCAGAACGTGAGGATGCAATGGTAGAAGAATACATTTGATGTTATGTGGATTACCAAGAGGATAATTGGTCAGACCTGTTACTATTCACAGAAGTGGCGTACAACAATGCAGTCCATAGCAGCACTGGATTAACTCCCTTCCAAGTTACCAGTGGCATGGAATTTGTCCCTATGCCTGAACTCACAGAGAGCCCCCCTCCTCAATATCGTTGACTGAATGGATTGACTCTTTGAAACAAGGATAGAAGAATACAAGGAAAGCCCTGGCAGAAGCTGCAGAGGAATATAAAAAACAGACAGACAAGCATCGCTTGCTTCAACCCCCCTTCCGTGTGGGAGATAAAGTTTTTCTGTCAACCAAATACATATGGTTGAGGATGCCTAGCAAGAAATTAGGACCTACGTTTTTAGGTCCCTTCCCAATAGTAAAAATAATTAACCCAGTGACAGTTCAGCTCAGTCTCCCCTGAATTCTGGGAAAAATACACCCTATTTTCCATTGTAGCTTGCTGAAACCTGTTATTGGGT